TTAAAGCTAAATAGTCCATATTTATATTATACTTTATTTATTTATTATTATTTATATTATATTATTTATAATATATTATTTACACTTCTAACCCAATAACTAAATTCCCATGACCCTCAGTGCAGCACTAAGTGTCCAACCAGAAACTACTACTTGAAACCATGAAGAAGAAGGAAGATGAGCACTGAAGGAGACACCACCCAAATTCCTCCATCTTGTCCCATAACTATTACTATATTATAAACCCCTCAGATTTAAAACCCTTCACCATGTGAAAGCACACACTTCTTTTTAACTACACACCTGTGATTTTAACTTCATTACTCAAATTTGGAAGCCTTCTCCAAGGCCTCGGGTCAAAAGTAGTGTTGTCCAGGGGGTCAGTGCCAGAAAGCACAGATAAGCTCAAAAAACCCAGGTTTCTGGGATGCAACAAGAAAGTCAAATGAATGTGTCTTTACAAAAAGACCATGTAATTCTGCTAGTAGAATGGCTAGGAACTTATAGTTACTGAAGTAACAGAAGAAATCCTTTGTTCTAGAAACTGTTATTTATCAACAGAGGGTATTGCTCAGCAAAGGCTGTATTAAATTCCTGAAACCAGAGCAAGAAAAGAGAAACTTAATAGAATTAAGAAGAGTTTATTTTTCTTTCTTTTAGATAGCAGAAGGAGGGTGCATATTAGAGTGGGGCATTGAGTAGGTGATTCGGGAAGTCTCTACCTCCCACTTATTTCAGCCAATGGGGAAAGGAAGAGGGTGATGCAGAGGGGAATTTAGGGTAGCTCTTTTCCATGGGGAAAAAACCTCACCCCTAGTTTCCTGATGTCAGTTTGGAGGAGATGCTTGGAGCTCCAAAGGCAACCAAGGTTCTAAGTGGTCACAGCTTGGGTCTGTGAGAAATCCTGCCCTGTTAAGAATTTTAGCAGGCAGAAGCCCATTGCCAGCCACAGGTCCCTGAAAACAATCAGTGATCCATTCCCAAAGCAAACAAAACTCATACCCCAGTTTTCTGGTGTCAGTTTGGAAGAAGTATTTGGCACTCGAAAGGCAGACAGGGTTCTAAGTGATGGAAGCCTGGGCCAGGGAGAAATCCTGTGCTGTTCAGAATTTCAGCAGGCAGAAGCCCAGTCCTGGCTAGAGGATCCTGGAAAAGAACAGTGGCTTGTTTCCATGGGATGTCAATTTGGAGGAAGCGTTTGGCACTCCCAGAGTAGTAAGAGTTCTAGGTAATGGCACTTGGGTCTGGGAGAAATCCTGCATCAGCTGGAATTTTGGCAGGCAGAAGCCCACTCCTGGCCACAGGCCCCTGGACACAAAGCAGGACCCTGTTACATGGAAAATAAAACTCATCCCCCCAGTTTCCTGATGACAGTTTGCAGGAGCCATTTGGGACTCCAAAAGCAGCCACGGTTCTAAGTGGTGGCAGCATGCGTCTGAGAGAAATACTGTGCCGTTCAGAATTTTAGCAAGCAGAAGCACATTCTCAGCTACAGGCACCTGGACAAAAAAAAAAAAAGTGGCCATTTCACATTGGAAACAAAACTCAGTTCCCAAGTTTCCTGATGTCAGTTTGGAGATGGCGTTTGGGACTCCAAGGGCAGGCAGGGTTCTAATTGGTGGCATATTTGGTCAGGGAGAAATCCTATGCTGTTCAAAATTTTAGTAGGCAGAAGTCCACTCCCAGCCCTAGAGCCCTGGATACAAATGGTGGTGCTTTTCCAAAGGAAACAAAACTCATTCCCTCAGTTTCCTGTTGTCAGTTTGGAGGAGGTGTTTGGCACTTCAAAGACAGCCAGGGCTCTAGGTGGTGGCATCTTGGGTCTGGGAGAAATCTTTTGTCATTCAGAATTTTAGCAGGCAGAAGCTCACTCCTGGCTACAGGCTCCTGGTCACAAAGGCTGGCCCTTTTCCCTGTAAAACAAAACTACTCCTGGCCCCAGTGTCCTGGACACAAAGAGTGGCCCTATTCCATGGGAATAAAACTCACACCACCAGTTTCCTGATGTCACTTTGGAGGAGACTTTTGGTTCTCCAAAGGTTGCCAAGGTTCTAGGAGGTGACATCTTAACTCTGAGAGAAATCATGCTCTATTCAGAATTTTAGCAGGCAGAAGCCCACTCCCACTCCATCTAGTCACCTCCGTGCCTGTGACCCCTAAGCTGCCAGCCCCTTGGTGCGATTTTCTGCAGTGTTTCCAAGCATGCGGACATGGGTTGTGGCCTAAGTGGTGCTGTGGGTGGGATGGGCAGTGGCGTGGACACCTCTCTCTGCCGAGATCCTGCTGCAGCCGCCTTCTTGAGTGACCCCCCCATCCTGTGACATCACATCATGTCCCACCGCCTCCCCGTGCTCCACCCCTGCTGCCTCCTCTCTCTTCCCCCTGCCCACCTCCCTCTCCCCTTCGGCCAGGGGAAATGGAGGAAAGCACAAATACTTCGAAGAAGAAAGGACAGCAAGCAGAACTTCCTGAGTCATCGCCCTGCCTGCAGCCTGGAGCAGCCAGTAGGAGGAGGCAGCTGATCTCTTTGCCAGAAAGGTGAGAGGTATGGAGGGGGGAATGGGAGGTCAAAGTTTGCCAGGCAGTGCTTCCCAGGGAGAATTCCAGCTCCCCGCTTTCAGCTGTTGCTGAGTGCTGCATGGTCTGAGCCAGCTGGGAGCGGTCCCCGGCAGCTGCTGCTGCTCAAAGGGCATCTCACAGCAGCCTGGTGTCCTCTGTGTGTGAAAACAGCTGTAGCGTTAGCAGCTGAGTGCAATTTTTTATTGGATTTGTAGCAAGCAATTTTGCTGTCTCAAGCTGGGACTGCTGCGTTTGGTGGGTGGGAAAGTCCTTGAAGTAGCCTAGCTGAGCAGTTGCTGAGTGTGAAAAATGAAGTTTACTTTCCTGGTAAATTTTAAAAGGTTTAATAAAAAGACAATAAGAGACAAAGACAGTAAAGGAAAGGGTTAATATGGCTGGGTGCTTGGCATTCTGCTATGAACAGGCTCTTTTGGAGACACCCCTTAAATACATCAGCCTGTTGGATATTTACAGACCCTCATGCATAATTCAAAAACATTCATTTGAGTACCCCCAGCCTGTCCCCACCCACTCCCCCTGTAAATCAATATTTTTTATTTCTCCTTGTGACTCTGTCCTGTTGCACACTCCCTGATAACAGACGATCAATAAATTCCTTCCCTGGGGTTCTGGTGTCCATCACTTCATCTAGATGGGGTAATCCAAGATGTGAAGAATTTCTGAATATCTTTTTAGCATTCTCTGAGTTAGTGACGTCGACAAAAGCTTTTTACATCACTGTCTTAGTTTAAAAGACAGGTATTTGCTAAAAAAGACAGAGACCTCTTTTTTTGAAAGGAGAGCATAACCCGCCCCCCCCCCCTTCACTTTACTATGATTTTGAAAGTAAAAGGGGTCTCAGGCAGAAGATACGTGTTGGGGAAGATGAAACAGGAAAACCTTATAAATATGATTGCCTGGCAAAAGATTTTGAGAATATGGAAACTATAAGCAAGATTGAAATGAAAGCCATCTTTGAGATACCAAACCTTAGTTAGTGAACAACTAGAAAACAATAGTATGGCCAGCCAAAAGTAATCCCCTCTTGATTGAACAATTCCCTCCGCTTGCAGACAAGTCCAAGGGTCAGAGAAGACCCTACTAGCTTGGCAGAAGGGGTCCAAAGAGTAGTTTTTAGGGTTTAAAGTGCAACACAGTATGGTAATGTAATAATTCTTACGGGCTGTATGTAAATGCTATAGGATTTGTACCTTATATTCGATGGGTTAGTGAAAATTAGAAAACGATTTATTGTATTGTAACGAGAACCTAGCTCTCTTACCTCTTACTCTTACCTTACCTCTTACTCTCTTAACTCTTTACTCTTACTCTCTCAGCCTTCTTCTTACTCCTGTTCTCTTGCTCTTACAGGCCTGCTCCAAGCTGCGGCTGGCAGCTCCAAGCAGGGCCCTTTCACCCATGCCCTTTGCAATAAACTGCAAGTACCAAGACCTGGCTTTAGAGGTCTCTCTGTCAGTCCTGACCGTCCTGCCCACTGTCGCTCCTACAGATAAGGGGATAGGAATAACAGTTCTTTACTGATATATATATATATGTAACAATGGAAACAAAACACAACAATAACTGCGAGATCAACAGCAACAGAGCAGAAAACCCAGTAAACAGTTCTCCCAGTTGTGGACACCTTTCCTCTGTGGTGCAGTTTCTGCTCTGGCACTGCCTGCCTGCTCTCGGTGAGCAGGGAGCAGATGCGGTGATCCCACGTGGCTGGAGGGGCGCTGCGGTGAATGGCGTCTGTGTCCCAGATGGGAAGAGTGAAGGGGAGACGCTGCTCAAGGATCTGCATGCTCCAAAAGGATGTCTGAGGTTGGCAGGAGATTCAGGAGAGAGAGAGTGTCCAAGCAAGGAGGTTGCGGGATCCCACAGCCAAGGAAGACAGTTCCACCTCGTCAGGATGGCAGAGTGGAGTTTCTAGCGACCGTTCTCCAAGCCAGACAAGCAAGAGAGCGCCTGAGCCTGAGAGTAGGTCCCTACCCCACCTCTTCTTTTCCGGTGTTCCCCCTCTCCTCCCCCCTGCGAGAGAAACTGTTACCTTAGCTACCTGAGCTTTTGGGTGTAGCCCCAAATACTTAGCATAACAATAAGGAAAATTCTGCAGAAAGAAAAGGGAAAAATTCAACCCCCAACAATCACTGTGCTATAGTCCAAGAAAAATAACACACCGCTATTTCCAAGTTTTGTTAATACCATTACTAAAAGAAACTGTATTCATACAGCAACGTTTTCCAACACTATACATATAGCATGCATTTTAATATTTGCAAAAAGCCAATAATATACTATGTACTTGTAACACTGAGAATTCCAAGCCTAGTGTCTCTGTGATTCTTGATACAATGTTTGTTTAAATAGTTACCATCAAATTGAGACAGTATCAAGTCGATTCGTTGGAGTCACAGAATGGTGAGGAACAATGGCTTAACCTCCCTTTTCTCCTCCCTTTCAGGCAGAAAAAACCATCAAACTTGCCCCATATTTTCCAAGAGCTTTGGCGTTGCAACAGCTGAAGACAATAAGGGCCCCCTTGGTCCTGCCTGTGGCGTGGGTGAGTCACAGGTTCCTCTTTTCCTCTCTGCTGGGATGAACTTTGTAGAGAATGCCATTTCCAGCAGCCTAGTTGGGTGGAAAAGGGAAGAATGGAAGAGGAAATGGGGTGCCAAAGCCATGTCCCATCAGGCTGTGTTTTCCTTTGAGGACAGAGAGTCTCTGGGCTGAGGTGAGATTCCTGGGTGTGCATGGATGAGCTATCCTGGGAACAGGGAGCTCGGAATTGCATCCACTCCTGGAAACATTGCCTTAGGACTGCTCCGTTGTGTCTGTGACAAGCGGGATTTGTGCTGGAGAGAGAGGTGCTATTGGGAAGAAAGGATGGAGTAAGTTCCCTCTGGGGATGTAGGGCTAGGGACTGAGTTACAGGGAAGAGAAGTATTTATAAACTGTATCCATATTTCCCTGAAACCAGTGAAACCGGAGCTGGAGCAGTGATAGGGATGCTTGGGTTTGGAGGATGAGCCATTGGAGTTAGGAATCAAATTTGGGTGTGTTCGCTACAAAATCATGCAGATCTGGATGTCCTGGGGTGATACTCTCTCAGCAAAGCTTCTTTGTTATTCCCTGTCAGATTTCCCTCAGCGCTGGGCAGGAAAGGTGAGAGTTTGCATCAGGAATTCTGCAAGCAGAGCAGATTGTATGACTGTGGGCTGTTTCTCATATGTACATCAGCAAGCCAAAATCAAGAGTGAAGGTTGGCTTGGTTTTAAGAACTTCAAGTGACTTTAAAACAAAATAAATCTACTTTTTTTGTTTGTTTTTGTTTTGCCTTTTTTTTTAATCCTAGATGTTGGAACTGCCTCTCTGGATGTGTGCTGAGACCTCTCGCTGCTGCTGTGGACTGTGCGGCCTTAATTGTTGTAGGTTACTGTTCTTCTCGCTGGGGAATTGGGAATAAATATCAAGTAGTACGCAGAGCTTTTTTCTGTAACCTTTCCCTTTTTGCTGCCTTCCAATGGTAGATCTTTTCTTCCTGCCTTGGTGTTTACAGCAATTCTGCGATGTCATTTCACTGACCTCAATTCCTTGCAGCTCCTGGGGCAGAGAGAAGTGTCTGCTGTGGCCGAGGTGGGAAAATGATACTATGTGTCCCACTGCCTTAATATGTAGAACTTCTCTTTCTGTCTTAGAGGGTAGACTGAATTGATCCTTTTTCCACAGAGAGCAGGAAGCTGAACTGACCTGAATTCCTGAATCCAACTTTAGGTAGTTGAGTTTTCTTAAAGAAAATAAACCCCAGGCTTTTTTTTTTGTCTTTTGCCTTTTTTTTTGTCCGTGCTTCATTGGTATTACTTCTCAATTGAGCCACGCCTTTCAGGAGTGATGGTGAGCACCTTCTAGAAGCAGTGTTCACTTAATTTTGCACTCTGTCCTGAGACCTTCGGGCCCAAGTTTCTCCGTTGCTGAATTCATGGCAGGTCCAGGCTGATGGTATCCTGTGTGTCTGGTGTTCACTGAGTTGTTTGTGGGGTTCATTTCCTCTGCATGCAGGCTTGGATTTTTGAGGCAGACAGTGCTCCTTGAAGCTCAAGGCTCATTTAGACCTTGTGCATGATTTGATGAAGGCTGGGTGAGGACTTGGTCTTGGTGGTGTACTAGGGCATGGAATGTGGGAGGTTCCTGCACTATTATCCCCATGGAAGTTGGAATGACCAAGGACATGGGTGTGACAGTCATTCTTGGGTATGCGCTCGTTCCCAGCCATCTGTATATATGCACAGAGCATGCTGCTTTATTTGTTGGTATTATTGACTATGCGTCATTTGGTTTTTGAGTCCAAATAACGTTATGGGTGGGTTAGTTTGCATTTGAGGTAAAATTAGTTGAAATAGTCTTTTTAAATAGTCTTTTGATACATATGATTGAGATTTTGGGTAGGACCAGCTCGGCTGGTGTAGTTTCGGGTGTTCATTTATGGGACAGCTTTTGTTAAATGCAGGTTTTAATTTTTGAAAGTTGTGTTTTTGTTTTTGTTGTTGTTGTTTTTTTTTTTTTTTTTTTTTTTTTTTTTTTTTAAATTCAGTGCTTTGAAGGTGTTTTTATAATAATTCCTTGTATTGTTTTATTTTGTTTGTAGTTGGTGTATGATAAGGCTATGGTCTACTACTTAAATGTTATGCTTTTTAGTTTAAATGTTGATAAGTTTTGATTTAATTCTGTTTTGGTGGTTTTGTTAGTTTTATTTTTGGGGATAGGTGCATTTAATATGGTGGGCTTTTATGGGTAATATTTTATTTAATTCAGGTAGTTATATTTTTAAATTTTCTAGTAGCTTAGACTGGTTTTGTTCATGCATTTAATTAGCTATTCTTTATTTTTAAAATTATTTTTATAGAGTATTGGTTATGATTTGTGAATTAATATAAAGGTAGAGCTTTGAGGTTTTTTAGTAATGCTTAGGATCAGTTGTAGGGTTTTGAGTTTACTGTATCGGTTTGATTTTTTGTTTTGTTTTGTTTTGTTTGGGTTTTTTTGTGCTGTTTTTTCATTAGTAGGTATTTTAAATGTGTATTTGAGTTTTTTAGGGTTCTGAAATATTTGTTTGAAGGAGGTTTATGTTTAGAACAAATGCCTTTTTTAGGCCAGTCACAGTGGGATTTTTTAGATTTATTTATAGTTAGGTTTATTTTCGTTTTTAGTAGGGTTGAATGTGGGGCTTGGTTATGTTAGCAATAGAAATGGGCTTCGTTTTTATATGTCGTGACAAGATTAGTGTGTACTGTGTACTAGTGTCGACTAAGGTTTTATACTTTTGTGGTTCTGATGTGTAGAGTTAATGAATTTATATAGTTTAAACTATAGTTTAGAATAGAAATGAATTTTAAAAAATATAAAACTATACAATAAATATATAAATATACAAATGTAAATATAAATCTATATTAAGTATAAACACAACAATCAAAACATGTCTAAATATGGTATATTATGTAAATAATATTATATGTATTACTATAACATATTATGTATGATATATAATATATGTAAATATAGAATAATACGTAAATGTAGATTCTAAATATAAACATAGAAATACAAATACAAAATATATTTAAATATAGTTTAGAGTAAAGGGTTTTCTTGGTTTCTATTTGGTTTGAGGCAGGCTTTTTAGTTTTGGTTGGTCAGGGATTATTTGGGGGCATTTATTTTAGAGAACTTTTTGTAAGGGATGGGGCTTGTTCCTTTTTTCCTCCCTTCACAGCCCTGGGATGGGTTCGGTGGCAGTGCTGCCGCCTTGTGGACGTATTTCAGTACTGCAACCATCTTCCGCGCAAGGGGGAAATAGGGGGGAAGGATGGCAGCGGCGAGGTGGACTCTGCAGCTGCCGCGCATGGAGTGAGCGTCAAGCGGGGAGGTGTCTGTTAATAGCGGGGAGCGGTAAAGGAGAGTTCTGAGTGCAAAGGGACGCATTGGCTGAGAAGGATGACGACAGCGGGGGCAGTCTGGTGGGGCCGGTTTCAGCCAGTGGCAGGGGGACAGGCACAGTGTGCCACTGGCTGGGTGCAACAGACGGGTGGGCGGGAGGGCAAGTGAGGTCGGAACAGGGCTTCCCATCCCCCGCGTGTGTTGCTTTCAAGATGGCGACAACAGCAGGACTCCAGCCGAGAGTAGGCGTGGCCACCGCCCAGCTCTGGTGCCCCTGACCCTGCTGGAAATGGTGGTGGAAAATCGTGCTGAGAGCGTGGGATCAGTTGGCGTCAGCCAGTGTCGGGGCCGGGTTCAGGCAGCCGACTTCGATGGATACTATTGTGAGGGGTGGGGGGCCTTAAAGATACCACAATAAAAATGGAGGCTACACTGGAAGTGGCTGTAGTCACAAGAAAGATGGTGGCAAGGACAGGCAGAAGTCACCTGACGCCACTCCCAAGATAGTGATTTGTCTGACCTTCCAAATATGGTGGCAAAAGGGCGGGAAACAAAGGACTCTGCTTCCTTGAGTTCGCTGCCTGTGCGTGATTTTGACGCTGACGTGGCGCGATTTTCTCTGGTCTTCCCAGGTGTGGGAACACGATCTGTGGCCTCAGTCGCTCCTCGGGCGGGCAGGAGCACGGACGCCTCTCTCTGCGGAGGTCCTGCTGCAGCCACCTTCTTGAGAGTAGCCCGTGCCTGTCCCATCCTGCCACCTCCCCGCGATTCTCCCTGGGACACCTCCTCCTTACCCCCTCTCCCCTTCGGCTCGGGGAAATGGAGGACAGCACAAATGCATCAAGGAAGAAATAATAGATGGCTGAGCTGCCTGAGCCATAACTGCCTGCAGCCGGGAGCAGTCATCAGGAGGAGGCAGCTGCTCTCTTTGCCAGCAAGGTGAAAGGTGCGGAGCTGGGGGAGGGGAGGCATGGTTTACTTCACTGTCTTCTGCTGCAATGCTGCTGCAGGAGGAAAGAGCATGAGGTGCAAAGCCCTGAGCAGAGTGGTGGGAAATGGGAGGTGAGGAAGGGTGAGGCTAAGGATGGTTATAAACTGGGCTGGCTGTAAGTGCAGGAACAGACATTTTTCATCCAGGCTGCCAAAATGAAGACCTGTAAAAAATAGCTCTATATTGTGTTTAACGTGTTTTTATTCCATATTTATGTCATCATAAAAACCAAGGAAATAGTAAATGCGGCTGTTTCCCACTATTGCAATGTGAATATTTTTTATAGGCTGGTGTATTAATGTTCTTTTTTTCAATTACAAGCTTTGCTTTTCCCTTCCTGCTGCACTGGGTGTCCCAAGGAGGGCTGGGTTCCTCAGCGGGGATCTTAGGAGCTGATGTTAATTCTGGTTTCTCTGAAGGTTCATGAAAGTGTTCTGCCAAAATGACTATTTTCTCCACTGAAAAGCTTCCATCTATGACCACCAATGCATGTGTGTGCTTTGATCGTGTATCAAATGATAGATGTACAAACACAATGATAGATGCAGGGAAAAAAGGATAGACAGAGTGCACACGAGAGTTTGATGTGTCTTATGTGAGGCAAGAGGAAGGTGCAGGTCTGCAGAGTCTTTTACTTCTAGAGCCTTTATCTATAGGCACAGCTGCTGGACGTTTGCAATGAAGACTGCAAGATTGTGAGTGGAAAAAGTGACAGCAGGTCTAGCTGCTAAAGAACGTACAGAGCCACAGTGCATTGTGATCAACATAAATGGTGCTAAGAGAAGGGAGTATTTTAGAAATATCTTCTGTCCTGACATTTCCCTCTGTGTGATCTCTAGCAGCCTGTACTCAGACACACAGAAAGTGTTTGAATGTGATTGAGCTGCAGATAGCATATTTCGCAAGAAAAAGGCTAGGGCAGCAAAATGCTTTCTGTCCTGACACATGTCTCAGTCTGAACTGCAGCTGGAATCACTTTGCTGTAACGATGGACTCTACAACCTTGGGAAAATGTGCTGATATATATAGTTGAGAAGGAAAGTGCCAATCACTAGTGTGTTTTGTCTAGTTTACAAACTGCAAAAGGACTATGAAATCCAGCACTGTCTTTTTGTTGTAGGACGTTTTTCTTGTAATCGGCTGCAGGATGTTTTGAAGGGGTTTGGGATCTGTGAGATGGAAAGGGTAGGGTGGTACATAGAGCTTGAGAGAAAGTGCGTATCTCCAGGGAGATGGATGCAGTTCGGTGCGTGCGAGTTACATGCTGAGCAGCTAATCACACAGAAAACTGTCAGCGTTCATCAAGAAAACCACACGGTGGCGCTGTCGACTTAGAAGGAAGTGCATGCAGCCCAGCTTGAAACCCCCGAGTGCAGAGCCAAATTGCAAGTGTCCCTGTTCTCAAATCTGCAGTGCCAGCACAAAAAGGTTTCCCTTTCTTCCCCTTCTAGCTGTATACTCTTCTTTGCACCACACTCAAAAGGAAACACAAACTCCTCTGCCTTAACAAATCTCTTCATCTTAGAGTCCGCTAACAAACTTGAAAACTTCTGACAAAAACTGAGCTCACTAAAGCGCCAGCAGAGAATGATCTTGCTGCCTACAATTGCAACTGCACCCATCAAACTATGAGCACACACCCTGCTATGGGCACTTTCCTTCTTAGGTACTGTCCTAAGCTTTCAGTTTCACAGAGTCCAGACAGAATGGCAGCAGGGACTGCTCACACAATAAAGGACAAAAGGTTCATCAGATTGGCATCTGCATTCCCACTGAAAATTCAACAGCTCTAAACCAGAGAACTGCCTATTGGGTAAAGCCTTTAAATTCACTAAAACCTCCCAAAGTGCACATCCAAACTTGCTTTCTTGGCCA